CCATAGATGTGATTTTCTTTCCAGCAAGCACTGACTGTGTTGATGAGGAAATCCCTGGGAAAGGGGATCCACCCTTGACAGTAGAACACAGTGATTATTGCTGGCGGCTATAGCCACAGTCAATAATCGCATGAAAAATCCGACAATTGAACTGAACTGGCCTAGATTTTAAATAATCAATGGCTGGCTTAAGTGTTCTCAGTGCTTTCCTTTATCCCCCACCTGTGTCTACCATTGTCTTCATCTTCAATCCTCTGCTAACAAAACTATTACCTCCTGTAGAAGGCTTGTTTGTGTTGAGTGTTCACACCATCAGTAGTTGTAGCACCAGCTTAATAACGCAGAATCCTTCACTCAGGACCGTTCTATTTAAAGTTTGTGTTTATATTCTTCATTCAGCTTAGTGGTCTCAATAAAAGCAGCACCAGAACACAAAAAAATCCAGCAATTAAAATAGCCATTTTTTTTTATGCAGCCAGACCTCAATTCTCACAGTTTTCTGCAGGCTATATAGCTGCTTTACCCTGAAGAATGTGACCACATTTTGTGAGGCTACAATTATTTCTCAGTGTGGTCACTGCTCAGCCTTCTGGGAAAGATCTGGGCACAGTGTGCTGCCTAAACACCTCCACCACCCTTCTTAAGTGCCAGAAACATCTAATTATCAAAGAATTATATTTAAAATACAGGCAATCATGTATCACTGGATATGAAAAACAATTGAAATTTTTTTTTTTTTAATTTACTACTGCCACTTCTTACCTAAATGCATGGGCTCCAGCATTAGTCGTATGCCATTGGTCAGGGTTGGCTTCATGATGGTGACAACTGCTGAATATACCTATACAATAGAAATCTGCAAAGCAGCTTATTGTATATCCCATATGGAAGAAAAATATATTTGAAATATATTTTAAAAATATTCTTCCAAAATATATTGACATATATATTTTAAATACTACAATTTTGGCCATATTCAATATATTTCAAAATATATTTCAATAAATATATACTGCATGTTGGAATGTGTTTTTTAAATATTACAAAATATATGAAAAATATTTTAAAAAAATATATTTTTGTAAAATATATTCTGCAGATTTTTTTTTAACATATAAAAAGTCATTTTAACATATATTTTTACATATATTTGTAAATGCATTCCAAAAATGTAGGTTTGTATTTTAAAAGAAATACAGTATATTTGAAATGTATTTTTAACAATATGTTTCATATATTTTGTAATAAAAACACATTAGTATATGTCAATATATTGGGGAAGTTTATTTCTAAAATATATTTCAAATATATTTTTCTTCCATGTGGGATTGAAGTCTCCACTGAAAGCATATGTAACAAGGTGACAATGCAGGGACACATCTGCATGACAGTGAAAAAGTAAGGTAACCTCATAAGGGATAATGCCAGAAAAAGGCACTTCATGGAAGGATTACCAAGTATTATATTAACCCCTTGCCACCGCCAGGAGCTGGCCTTTTAAGTCAGCCATGAGACCCAAGGTTGGTAGGAAGGGTTGCCAATCGAGCAGCACTGTGATTGGCTAAACAGCGATGACATCATCAGGAACCCATTTTAGCGGTTGGGCGTTAAGGCTGTATTGCTGCGTGCATGCAGTACAGGCTGTTATAAAGGGGTTAATAAAAGATACAGATTTTAACAGATTGAGAATTACACCTGCTTATCCTGGCAGAAATGCAGTGAGCTCCTAACTTCCTGTTCAAGTTGTCAACACTGCCTCAGCTGCACTGAAATCCTAAGCAATGTTGTCAACCCTGTCTGGGTTCTCCCTGGCAGACTACAGAACACATTCCCCTCATGTATGGGTATGAGGAAAAGGGGAAGAGTTCTTAAGTCCTGCTTTGGAAAACTGGATAGGGCTGACAGCACTGATGGAGATTTCAATGCAGCATAGACAGAGTTGTCAGCTCAGTACAGAATGTTAGGGGCTCATGGGATTTCTGGCAGATACAGGTATTATTCTTGCAGTATTAGTAAGGAGACAAAACATGGGAAAATGTTCATGTATTTCTGAGATGTACTGATTATATTTTTTATTTTGTCCAGAAATACACTTTTGGGTCTAATTTCAAATGTTTTCTCCCAAGATTTACACAGCTTTCACATAGGATTCACACATTTTCCACTGGAAACTTGGAAAAATGTGCAAATATTGAGTGAATGTTGTGTGAATCTTAGGTGACAGTATTATTAAACCCCTTTAACATTTTAAAGGTCATATGAGATTATAGGGATTGGGTTTTTATATACATTAACACTGTGGGGCATATTATAAAATCAGTTGGCTGATCATTCGATGTTTATTCACAATCCATGAATTGTTCACTGTAACTACAAAGCAGCTACAAAGTTGGCAGCCTGAGTCCTCTTCTGTCACTCATCTGGATTTCCTTATCTTCAGTGAAATTTGGGTTCCAGTAACATAGTTACATAGTTAGTCTGGCTGAAAAAAGACAAAAGTCCATCCAGTTCAACCACAGAAAAAAAAAGTTATAATCCTACACCCACAGTTGATCCAGAGGAAGGCAAAAAAGGCAAAAAAAACCCCAGCAAAGCATGATCCAATTTGCTCCTGCTGGGAAAACAAATTCCTGCCTCATCCCCCGAGAGGCAATCGGATATTCCCTGGATCAACTTTACCTATAAATGTTAGTAACCAGTTATATTCTGTGTATATTTGTAAATATTAAATCTGCCAGTCCCAAACTGGCTTTGGAAGCTCACTATAAAATATATTGTTTTTTTCCATAAGTGATTTGCTACTTCCTTGCGTCCACATGCCCATCCCCAGCCCCATCCTCCCCCGCTGCAAACATTGGGGGAATTATGAAAGAGAAATATGTCAGCTTTGCAGTGTAAATATTGATGCTTTTAATGTGCAAAATGAACCACTTCGGGACTGGTATGTTACACCCCCTTCCTGTTCAGGCAAGTTTTTAGCATTTATTTAGACAAATAAGCTTTCTTTTGATGGTTTTTAACAATCACTTTTTTTCAATATAAAAATAAAAATGAAGAAAAAACTTTCCCTTACTTTCTAGTATAAAACATATCAAATAATAATGTCTGGACATATTTGGGAATGGACATGCCAAGATGATCTGGTTTTTCACCACAACATTTTGGAAATGAAGAAACATTCTGGTATTGAGATAGTTACATATTAAAGGATAAGTTCACCTTTCTTAACATGTTACATGTTACACCCACATTCAGAGTGTAACATTAGTTTGGATTCGGTCACTTACAGACAATCTACTGTGATTTACCAGTGAGCCTAACTGAAGTAGAAATTTGTGCACATGGAAGCAAGACACTGACACTGTTTGCAGTTTGTCAACTTCCCAATTTCTGCTTTATTGAGGAACTGATCGTAACATATATAGGTCTTATGACGTAAACAAAGTATATGTTGTGATTGGGTGAAAGTTTACTATACATTCTTCCATTCGTATTAGTGTCTTCCAATTATCTTCGAAGATGTGACGCATTCGCTTTTTGGGGTTGTTTACGTTAAAAGATGCATTCTTTCCTAATGAGTCACTTCAGGCGAGGCTCCGGATGGAGGCACCATCTTGATTATCGAAATCCTGTTAATCTATATCTGATTGTTTACTAAAAGAGCAAGGAGTTTAAAGAGCAAGGAGCGAGGCTATAAAATTGTCATTTCACTGATTATCTGACATATTGTAAATTCTCCATTACAACATGTAACATGTTACTGTAACACCAGCCCCTGCGCCCCTTCTCCCTGATCCGCCATTGCGACAGCTAGTGAGAGATCTTCTCTCCTCCCGCTAGCTGTCACAATTTTAAAAAAAAGCTCCGCCCGCCCAGCCACGTCATTCATTCAAATAGTTCTGTGAATTGAAACCTACAAGTACTGATAGCATTTGTGGCTGTTGGCTTGTACATCTCAATGAACTACCATGGCACTGTTGAGCGCTCCGGTAGTTCATTGATTCTTCCTGTCAGCATGAAATTGTCTGCCTGTACAATGTATGGGCTGACAGCTCACACTGACAGTCTGCAGGAGTCCTACATGGTACCAGTGATCATCAATGCTTTCCAGACTCTGAAAAAAAATTGTAAATGCACAATTTTTTACCTGCAAAAATGTATGTATTTTATTGTATTTCATTTTTTTTTAAAGTGAACTTATCCTTTAAATTAGGTGCACTTAACCTTAAGACGTCACTCACAGAAGCCAAGTGCAAGTCTTCAGTTATTAATGGAAGAAAGTTCCTTGGAGGATGAAATAGCATTGTCCTGATTGTGTGCAGTCTTTAGATATGATGGCTAAACTCAATAAAGTCCAAATACAAAGTGAATACCACAAATGGTGCTGTACCAGTACCAGATGGACCCCACCCCCATATACCAAATCATTCCTATAGTTATTGGTGGTCTTTTTTAACCCCCCTCCCCCATTTCCCCTTTAAAACAATCCAAAAATATTGGTGGTCAGTGGTATTTTAATCAGCCCCCCAAATAACCCCACAGTCAGTGGTGGTAAGAACTCACAGTGATCTATACAGCCCTTGCAAAGAGTGACACATAAATGCAGATAGCACCTGGCAGAGGAGTTGGCTTGCAGGCAGGAATGCAGCAAGGAGTTGTAGTGGCAAGGCTCCACACTGAAGACCATGGCCGGATCTAAGGGGGTGCTGGGGTGGGCTATGCACCACCCAAATTTCATTTGCACTCTCCCCAAAGCCAATTGCCCCCAGTGTTGTTAACCATCTGTAAATTATTGTAATTCTGGATGAGCTACATGTTAACCAATAGCTCTGCTAATCTGGGTAGGTGGGAGGAAGTGCTGGTGAGTTGTTCCACCTCCTGCCAATCACACAGCACTGTAACCCGTCCCTTTTCCAGCCCACCACATTTGTTTCACGATGGCATCCGGAGCAGAGCTGGAGGGGAGAGGATGCAAAATACATGAAGTACAGGCTTTCTAACAGGGGCGGACTGACTATTTGGAAACTCAGTCACTGCCCGACGGCCTGGGGTCAGTAGGGGGCCCATGAGATGCCCCTGGTACCTTTTTCATAGGCTTTTTTGAGTTTGGGCAAGGACACAGGGGCCCCATGATCGCCTATTGCCCGGGGGCCCCATGAGTTGTCAGTCCGCCCCTGCTTCCTAATAATGTTCAAACAAACCAATCACAGAGGACTCTACAGGCTACAGCATCTTCAAGAAGTCTATTGATCAGTGTGCGGCTTAGGTAATAACCACCCTGAGTAGGGAATGACTCCCCTCACTCTTGTCCCACTTGGTTCCCTTGTTTAGTTATTTACTGTACACCGGATGGACGGGTGAACACGCTGATCATTAGACTTCTTGAAGATGCTGCAGGCGGCATTACAATTACACGTGAGTGGTCACACACCACTAGTGATGGCTTTCAGTTGTTTATATAGAGCTGTTTGTGATAGAGTCCTGTGTGTGCCCTCTGTGACTTGTTTGATGATTTCCTTTTATGTTGCCTTTGCAGGATTTAGCCTGGTCAGGCTGGCAGATTCACATACTTATTAATCATTTACTGTCCTCCTAACTGTGCTTTCTGTAACTTTGTTATATTTTTTAAGACCCTGTTCACATATAGTGCAGTGACCAACATTTTTCCACACTGGGAAAACACCACTCACTGCTAGAACACATGCTTGTAGTCTCTGACCATCTCCTGTAGTATGTCTGCAGTCTCTGACCATCCTCTGTACCATGTCTGTAGTCTCTGACCATCCCCTGTACCATGTTTGCAGTCTCTGACCCTCTCCTGTACCGTGTGTGCAGTCTCTGACCCTCTCCTGTACTGTGTGTGCAGTCTCTGACCCTCTCCTGTATCGTGTGTGTAGTCTCTGACCCTCTCCTGTACCATGTGTGCAGTCTCTGACCCTCTCCTGTACCATGTGTGCAGTCTCTGACCCTCTCCTGTATCGTGTGTGCAGTCTCTGTCTCTTGTATCATGTCTGCAGTCTCTGGCCATCTCTTATATAATGTCTGCAGTCTCTGGCCATCTCTTGTATCATGTCTGCAGTCTCTGACCCTCTCCTGTACCATGTCTGTAGTCGCTGACCCTCTCTAGTACCATGTCTGCAGTCGCTGACCCTCTCTTGTACCATGTCTGCAGTTTCTGACCCTCTCTTGTAATATGTCTGCAGTCTCTGACCATCTCTTGTATCATGTTTGCACTCTGACCATCTACTGTACTATGTTCTCCCACTAAAGGGGTGATTTGGAATAGCAGGCAGAATCACTGCAATTCTGCCCGTGATTCCAAAGTGTGACAAAATGGGCAACACAAATATGGCTGCCATTATTCTGTTATGCCTTGTTCTCAGGTTGTCAGTAAAAGAAGTTCTTTTTCAGTAAACTTTTCATGTCTTGTCAATAAAAAAGATGCAAAGGATTGTCATCCCTGCACCCCCCCCCCCCCCTCCACCTCAAATGCTGTGCCAGGCAGCTGAACTCCTCGCCACATAGCACATTGCCAAAATCAGATTCCCTTTTACAGCCATGATCTGCACAATGTGTAACTGGCTACTCTGTTGCAGTTTTGCCCTGTGAAATTCCCTGATTGGAATGCCAGTGCAGCTACAGTAGCCAGCTACACACCGTGCAGAATATGGCTGTGTGGAGGAGAAATTCTGCTGCCTGTGCCCAGGCTCTGCCCTGTCGGTAGTGACCCCTGTATATTGCCCTTCTGACCACTTTCCTCTGCCCCACTAATTCCTGCACACTTTTCCTCTGACCTCACATCCTTTGCCCTGCTGGCCCCCTGTACACTGCCCTGCAAACTACTGCCCCTCTGACTTTTTTTTACTGTAGCCCCAAATCAGATCAGCTAGATCCGGCCCTGCTGGAGACCAGTGCCTATTCTGTCCCTCCTTCACTGGAACCTCTCCCAACACTAGGCACACTCTCCCTGACCAGTGCATTCCTGTCCCTGTCCTAACTACATGCAAAATGTGCACCAACTGCAGTGAAGTACTGCTCTTTATAAGCACTGCCCTCACTAAAGATGGCTACGAGGTCACCCAGGGCAGCAGTGTCTAGCCAGACTGCTGCTCACCTGATGTGAGTTCCTCCTGTCCCCCACTCTCTTGGCATTGTGGCTGCTGGCAGCACCACCTGTGCAGGAAGGTCAAACTGCTCCTGTCTACAATAAGGGTAGCAATGCAGAAAGTAGGAGAGGACATTTAGGATGATCTCAATGGAAGTGTAGCTCCTTCCTAGGTAGCTAGGGGGAGCTAGACTCAAATTGTTAGACAGGAGCTGAGTGGCAGCCCTGGTTCAACAGTCAGAGGGAGGTTAAATTCGGGTCAGTGCTGAGAGGCTCTGCAGGCCAGCTCTCTGAGACTTCCCCCTGTCATAGAACTTTGTAGAAAGTTATAGAAGCAGTGGGTGGAGGTAAGGAGTGGCTGGTCTGCATTCTTGAGGGATCCTGACCAAACCCCAACAGGAGGATTGACATGGGGTCAGGACTGTCCTTAAAAGTTAGAGAGCCTGCTCAGCTGGAGGGGAGTTGTTGCAGAAGAGGTGAGGAGGATGTGAGGCTGAAGGGCAGGAGCCTGGCAGGGAAACCAGATAGAGAGGTCAAACCTACAGGCAGAAGGACCTGGGAAGGACCCTGTGTGGCAGGGTAGGAATGGCCCAGCTAGAGGTTCTGGTAGCAGCCACTGACCCATGAGCAACACAGGAGAAGGACTAAGTGAGTAAACCTGCACCCCGTGGGCCAGATAGGGAAAGGAGGCATTCTGGTAGGAAACTGGATTAGCCTGCCACCCAGGACTGTTTCACCCATTTTATATGGCAGACACTGGATCTCCTGTCCAAGGAGTCCTCCAGGCAGCCAGACAGAGGAACATCTGAGGTCTGGGGTGTTACTACCAGAGACACTGACTAGCTCTCCAGAAGAGACTATTTGCTGTAACAACTTGTAAATAGTTCAGGAAGTTCAGGAAGTTGTCCTCAGTTTCTCAGTTCCATTGGACATCCTGTACACCCCTTACCCCATCCAAGTTCTAAATCCCCTAATAAAACTCCTGGATGCACGTCTTTGTGGAAATGTGTGTTGCCTGGCTGTTCAGGAGTATAGGGAGGACCCAAAACTACTCCTAAGGGGAAAGTGCCACAGAAGGTTAGCTCAGATTCATACCAAAATTTTGGCAAATGTTGGAGTAAGCATGCTTAAATCTAGCACACCACCACCATGCTATAAACTAATGAAATAGTGTGCAACACATTTAATGATTTGTCACAGCAAGCGCAAAGTATGCAGGCAGAAATTGTTGCATTGTTTGGCTTGTGCTAGTGTTTGATAACCCCCTTCCCTATTGACTGCATGTTTAGCAGGTAAAACATTAATCTGAAAGCCTTCAACATTTGAACTCTCAACCCAACATTATAAAGTCGGTGAATTGAGGTGTCCCAAATGTGCTTAGGTTTCAAAGTGACCCATTCTATTTGATGAAGATGAGTACCATTTGTTACCTTTGTGTTCTGTTTATCTAGCTTTAGCCTCTGTAGCTAGTATTTGTTTCTGGTTCAATAATTTTTATTCAATCAAGAGTGTTGTGCTTCACGTTATTGAACTGTTGTATAACACTAGTCAGACAGTCTAACAATAATTCAGAAGTCAAGAAACGTGAGACATCAGATCTGTATGTATTCTTTGTTCTGAATAACTTTGTAAAACTACAACATAAGCACAAACAAAACATATGTGTCAGTACATTAAACATTATACAACAGCTTCATCCCATCAGTGATTGTACTCACGGACAATTCCATCATAAGTCCAGGAATAGCTCAGAGCTCCACTGTATGCTGCTTGCTAGATCCAGAAGCAGTCACGAAAATGGAGAATAGGAAGTTCCAGGTTAAAGATTACTGTCTCTATGTGAAAATTACCACTTCCTGTCAAGTCCTGATATAACTAGGCATAATAATAACTAATTCTGACCACTAGATGACAGCCACATCACATAACATTGCAGTATAATCCATTACAGCACAGTACATACATTTATTTTCAACAATATGGGCAGAACAAAGAGGATTAGCAATAAATGCTCTAGGTCTGCCCACGCAGGGGCTTGAATTGACAGTATAGGTGAGTACAAAACCGAATAGAGTTCCAAAAGAGTGAACAGCAACAACAGTGGTTAAACATGGTAGGTGAAAACAAATGATCAGAGGGGTCCAGGTAGGATACACATGGATAGCAACGTCAAACCTGGAGCAGTGAACTTCCTAACCATAGTGCAGTATGTATTATGCATCAAGAAAAGGGAGAAAATGGGGTCAGGAACCCAACAGAAAGAATTTAGGTGAAATAGAAGGGAAAGAGAAAGGAGGTAAGAGGAGGAGTAAGGGAATAGGGACTCATCAGGGGAGCCAGCTACAGGCGCCTCATGCTAGCTGGGGGAAGTAAAAGGAATACATATGCAAACCAAGCTTCCCAAATTTTGAGAAAGGTGGCATGAGAGTCCTTAAGGATACTAGACATTTGTTCATTAAGCATCAAGGCCATCATGCAGTCTCACATCCTGGAAAGGAACTGTGGAGTTCTTCCGAACTTGAATAATTGTTCTGTTGGCCGATAAAAATAGATAGGATGCCAGCCTTTGCTTGCCTAGTCAGTTTCAAAATTAGCATCACTGTCATTGTGTACATTTTGACTTTCCCTGGTAAATTTTAAATGGAAAGTTTGACTGTGACAAGATATGTCCCTTTTGGCAATCTGTCTTTGCAATATAAAATGATATGCATATATAATTCCTTTCACTGATCCCTGCACATAGCACTACTCTCGGTACTCCCTGGACCTGTTGCTAAGCAAAAGTTACAGCTCTTGCAGCATTTCCTCTCAGCTGGCAGGCAGCTAATATCCCAGTATTGGAAGTCCACCATTACCCCTCCTTTAGTGAAATGGTTGCCCAGAATAATGAGATCATGAGAATGGAAGAATGACTCAGGTTTGATACTGTAACGGAACCGGAACCCAGACCGCACTGAGTTTTCCGTTATAGCACAACTTCCCCTGTCCGAACACCATCCACGGACCACACCCTTGAAATCCCTCAGGAAAATAGACAATACCCAGCTCTTACTAAAACAGGAAGCCAACAAC